GCAAAATATCCCCAGATATCATCCCATAAACAAAAGGGAGGATGCTGTTGAGCCATCAAGCAATCTGTCCCACATGCTCCCTGAGGATTTGGGGATGTGTTTGGAGTGGCAGATGGTGTGGATAAACCTGTCTTTTAATCCTGTGTCCTCCTTCCAGTTTTCATGTTCTTATCACAGCTAGTTAGTTCTGAGAACAAGTGGTGTGAGCAGACGAGGTTAGTGAGAAAGTCACCCTGGTCTGACTGTCTCCAAGAGTTTATGGAATGGGAATCCCTATCAACAGGTGAAGAGGACCTGTTGAATTGCCATCTTTAGAAAAGTGTTTGAGGGATCAGGCAAGAGCACGTCACACCATAGGTTTTCATCGCCAGGCAGCCTGCTCAGCACAGGAAGGGGAAGGAGGTGCACCAGCCAGTCTGCTGCCTCTTCCTACTCCCTTAATGTCCATTTAAGCACCAGAGCCAGAAGGATCCAATTCGTTAAATTACATGTAGGAACGTGCTGGAAATGACAATATAAAAAATGATATTTATACTCGTGGAGCCAAAGTGAAACTTTCTCATCATTGCAAACATTTCCTAAACCCCTAAACTTCAGTGCCCAATGATGCCTACGGGAATTATTTAATAAGCCAAGTTCCAGTTAGGAAGTAGAGACCCCACTTTGTGAGTTTTGGAGGCTCAAACTGCGTTATGATACAAAGTAGCTAAAACATGTCAGAAGTGTTCCAACAGAGCTCTGGGTTAGCTGTGGGTGATTCTAGGCCTTTTACCTGCAGGTGTGACCAGAGCTGGTAACACCTAGAACCAGGTGTTTAGACCCTAAGCATCCCCCATCGCTCAAGCCCAAGGCTAAGCAAGGCAATAAGTGCAGTGGTGAAAGTATGTACTTTGTTTCAGTTCTGAGAAGGCAAACACAGCTGGAGGGGCCAAGGTGCCTCCTTACCAAGCCTGCAACACCCAAGGCCAGAGAACATTTCCACTGAAGCCTCTTCCTATTCCTTCCCTCCCCAGATGCTCAGAATACAGCTTGGTGCAGGACGTGAGGAGGGTTTATAACCAAATGCCTTAATCCCTACTTGTGCTTGTCCCAGTAGAAATCCGGGGAAGCGTATAAAGACCTCTCATTCAGGCTGGGGGCATGGTTCATGTGGTACAGCTCCTGCCTAGCAAGCTATAGGCCCTAAGTTCCTGAGTTCAAATCACAGTACCACCAAACTAAAAAATAAATAAATCAAACAAGAGTTACCGGTTTCCAGGCTCCACTGCACTTCTCTAGCTGTAGCCTTCCTTTTTCTCTAACAAATCCCACTTTATATACTGAAAAAAAAAAAAAAAAACCCTCATTCACTGTGTGAGTTCATTGTCACAGCTTTTCTGTGAATCTGTTATACCCCAACAGGACCTGAAGCCTGTTGTTTCCTTGTGCCCACCCTGCCTGCCAATCTCTCTCCTTATCATAGCTGTTTCATCCTTGCCCCTTGCCACCATACACACACAGACACACACACAAATCTTTGTATAAGTAAAGTCTATTTAGTCTCCTAAAATTCATCTTCAGTAGTCACTTTCTCTGGCAAACCATTCTTGACACACTCCCAAACAGAAAAACCTCAAAATGGACTTCCTGTGGCTCCCATGGCCAGCTGTGCGATCCTCTGGTTTGCTATAAGCCACTTCTCCTGAGGTATGATGTCTCAGGCAGGACCAGGTCTTAATTCTAATGTCTAGGATGCCTGTTGAATTAAGTCAGACATAGTCTACTGGAAACCTTCTAGATGACAAATAGAAATTGCTGTCAATCTGCTCCCCACCAAGGCTCCTTATGTGGGGACTGGAGCCACTTCTTCTCACTCAAGCCAGAGACTCAACTGGCTGCCATCCAATCACTATCTAGTTGGTCACAAAGTTCTCCCTGCTTTACCTCCTTCCTGACCTTTTCCCCCTGGCATGGTGTAAGAACAAAATAATGAGTTAATTTGTCTGAAAATCCTACATCTTTTCCATTGTCAACAAGGTCAGTGAGACAAAGTCTGGTCACCTATATATATTGCTTGTCCCCTCCCATAGCAGATCTGCCTTAGAGAAAACCTTTCCATCCTGTGCCTCAGCCTGCTGGGCAGCCACCTGGAGCAAGGGCTGTTGTCACTCCTTCCACTCCAAGGGTAATTGGACAGGACCTAAGATTTCCCCAGATGTGACCTGTAGCTATAAGCAAACTTGTGCATTTACCCTAGTTCCCAGATAGACTTGATTTTCTGAATGCAGCATAACATAAAAATCTGTGGGAAAAAGTTCCTTAAAGAATAAGACCCAGAATCCTTAGCACCACTGCACGGTCTTCTAAGACCTTAGCCATCTGACACCCTCTCTGGACATATCCCACAACATCCTGTGTACACTTCCTTTCACACTGCTCTACCTGTGGTACAGCCACAGGTGCGGAGCTGTTGCTACTTCACTGCTTTGTCTCCCTCTGCCTGGAACACCAATCCTACATTTCAAGGTTTGTCCTTAAATATAAATTCTCTATCTTTCACCCCCACATTGGCCTTTTCAAAACTAGCTTGCTCAAAATTAATCTGAAAGGCAACCACAAAAAGATGGCACTCATGCATGTTTTTTTGTCATTCAATTATTTAATTAAACCCATTGTAACAACAGGACCCTAACCCAAAAAGGTTTCTGTAAGGAATAAGTGTCCGGGCTCCTAATTCAAGGTCAGCATAATCAAAAACATTAGTTTACTTTTCCTGTCTTTCTTCTTGGCCGTTTGAACCTTGTCATTTTTTAAGAATCAAAATCCTGGGTTCTGAAAAGGTTTATAGCCAGGATTTACAATTGAAGTCTATTTTTGTTTGCTTCTGGGAGTTACATTTGGAGGAGAATGCTAATTAAAATATCCCAGAGCCTGCCCCCCATGGCAGTCTTCATCTCCCATAGCACTTACCAGAACATGTCCTGATACTTGTCAGATCCAGATGCATGTGAGTGGCAAAGAGTGACAAAGTGAACAGGAATGCAACAAGGCAAAAACTCAGCACATGGCATGCAGAGCTGTCGCCACCATGAGACCTGGTGTGCACTAGGTTTTATTTATTCTAGAAAAATTTACTGACTCCATGCCAGGTTATTTTTCTTAATTAGGGTAATGAACCATGGGCATCTGCAACATGATTGCCTATACCTTTTTTGTTTATCTGAAGTATTTCATAATAAGAAAACATTTTTCCATCAAATGAGTTCTTCATGTTTAAAAAGCTGGGGGAGTATCATCCTAGTGGATCCTTCTCATTGGTTTTGGGAGGCACTTCTCCAAGGCTGCTGCTCTGATGCTCAGGAAACAGTTAGGAGCAGGCATGACCTTTAACCTGAAGAGTTAGTGATTCTCAATCTGCCACCATTTTAGCAAAAATTTCTGTTGTCAATATCAATGAGCCATTTTTTCTTCCTTGCTCAAAGTTTCAGATCAGGATGCTCAAACATGCCTTTATTTCACAGTAAGAGGGAAGGGATCTTACTTGTACTGGGTACCAACTGCAATCATTATTGTGCTTATGCTTAGTCAAGGGTATTTGTTTCTCTTCAAATTCAATATTCATGGCTAACAGCATAATCTCAGACAGAGCAGTATTAATCCAGATTTTAAACTCTGTCTACCATGGAACCGACTCTCAGCGCTCTCCTGGTTTATGTGCATTAAAGAGGGAAATAAAACATTTCTATTTCTTATCATCTACCTCTGCAGGAATTTGATTTTGAGAATATTTCATATGATTAAAGCAGGCCTACTATTGTTGAAATACTTGGTCCGTCTCTATAACAAGCAACCATTAGCCAAGTCATTGTTCAGCTATACCCAAACCAAAACCAAAATATATGGATAACCATTCCATTGATTTCCTCAGCCTCTCCATCATTCAGCTGCATGCCCTTTCTGGTTTCTCTTTCTTCTTGGATTAAGGATTTTAAAAAAAAATGTACAGAGGTTAAGCTAAGCCCAAAATAAAGTATGTCACACAAACTTATAATCAAGCCATCCAAACTGATGGAATTGATCCACTCAGAAGAGCCTTCCTTCTTTGTCCACCAAGGCTGGCCATGATTAAGTTGCCAGGAAAGAGGTTGGTTAACCTTGCTGGGTAGAGTTACTCAGTCCACAGATGAATCATAAGCAGTAAAATAACCACCCACAATTTTCCCTTCTTCATTTCCCTTCTGTAGCCCTCTTTCATAGAGGAAAACATAGACCAACCTGGAAAGAGATTGAAAGCCAATCTAAAGACATGTGTTCATTCTTTACAAGATAGAAACCAATCAGGAGAAGTCAACTGATTTGTCACATCCCACCTGTCAGAGGAAATCAGAACAAATGAGATTATAATTACAGCAGTGTTTGCAAGCCCTAGTGCCTCAGATTACAACCCAAGTTCACTAGAGGCAGGGAGGGTGATAGGGGTAGAGGTGTTTAGGTTTTCTGATTCTCCACCCTGCTCACCACGTTACACAGCCCCCTTGTTTACAGAGGAGCAAAAATGTGGCCCAGACTCTTAAGCAATGCGTTCTAGGTCACAGACCACATAGTCCTCTTTCCAAGTATAGTGCTAAAGCAAGGACCAGGCCACCTCAGGCCAGACAGGGGGTGGTTAGGACTCAGGTACACAGGGATAGGACCAGATACCTTGGTGCCCCAGCAGTCACTACACTGTGCACTTACTCAAACAAGTACTCCAGTAAAAGAAAAAAGTCCAAATTAATACCTTAGGTGTCAGAAATATATATAAAAGGAACACATTTCATCATTTATGTAACCTTTGCTTTTGGTAATATACTTAACTGCCAACATTTGGGGGAAGGTTCTGTATTATCTAGTAATAATGCTCTTTAAAAATAAGGTAATGCAGGACATCTAAATAAAACTTAAAATTGACTTATCTGAAATTGATATAGCTAATTTGTAAAGTACAGCTCATCACATCTTGAAGGAGAAAAGAAATGCACTGGTTTAAGTCTTAAGCCCTTTATTTACTACAATGCAGAACAATTACCTTTTAGACAACAGTGGGTTTTGCTTTCATTGACAATTTCACTAATTCAACTCAAAATGAAAAGTCAGAAAGAAATCACATGGTCACTGGAAGTAACATATCAGTAAATTAAAACAAGTGGGTAGACAATTCTTTTCGGGAATGATGTTAAATTCACTAGTCAGTGAATCCTTTTGTCTTGTCTAATAATTATGACAAATTAACTGTCATCAAACAGCACTGGACAGGAATCCTACAGAAATAGTCAAAGGCTTTCATTCTATGCATGGGCTAATCGCAAAATGTAGATGGCTTATGTTTACTCATTGGATTCACCTATCTTAAATTGCTCTGAGATTCAGAAAAATGGATATATCTTCATATGTTGTTCAACAGTCTCTCCAAATTTCTTCTTATGCTCAATAAAATTATACGTCATCCAGACATCCCTTCTTTAATTTCAATGCATGACATACACATGGCCACATCCATCACACACACATATATAATTAGGAGACTCCAGGAATATGTAAAGATGACAAGAAATCACTCAGTTCTTTGGTTATGCCCTCATGACAAATAAGTATTCCTTGGCAACTAGCCAGTTTGGTAAACAATATTAGACCTTGACTCAATAAAGTCTAATAGCCTCTCCCTTGCTTTGTATGCACCATTAGGGCCTGTCACCAATCTCCTGCCATCTCTTTCAGGCATAAATTCCTTCTTTTGGAAACACAAAATGCCCCTCAGACAAGTGTACCCTACTCCAAAGAAACACATTTCCCACTCAATTACAAAATCAGACTCAAATTAATGCAGGCAGGCAATTGAGAGTTCTTAGAAAACTTCCTTAAAATGACAAATGTATTTGATGTTAAAGCCATCCAATACGTCTGCATGCCATCTTATTAAATTAAAAACACCCGGTCTATTTATGCAATGTATCCAATGGTTTACAGATTAGAATCCTAGAAACAATACATGTCTTATAGCAAAAAATATACATATAATAATCCAGCTGTAGTTCATATAAATGATGAAATGTTTTGAATATATCTATATATCTATATATGTACACATATATACTCTGTGTATGTATGTGCATAATCAGGCACACAAACACTACAGTCCTTCATTGGCTTGTCCACTTCAGTGTCAAGGACACCAGATTTCAAAGTCTTAAGGACTTGAACAAAGGTCACCGCTGAGGACAAAGAACTGGCTTGATGCACCTTCCCTTGTGAAGGACCAAGTTTGCTGGACAGTGGCAACCTGCAACACAGGGCTTATTGCAGGGACCAATTTCATTCCAGTTGTCACAGGTCTTCACACATCCTGGGCCACAGGTATCATACACAGCACCATGCTTACACTGCGTAGCTGCAAAACAGGAAACAAAGGTGTGACATGGAGAATGGTCACATTAGCTCACCCTCAGCCTGAGCCCATTCCTGCAGGCTCCTGTTCACGTACAGACCTTTCCACAGTACAGGTTCATATTTACATTTTATCAAGGAAAAATGCAAATCATAGTACAGCTACTACTAAAACTGTTGTTACTACCACCACCAATAATAATAATGAGGTCATTTATTTATTGCAGATATCATGAAAGATAACCCCAAAGAATACTTCCAGTTACTGAGCTGTGATGAATTAAAATATTTTGTGCAACTAAATCAGTATTCAAACATATGGAATTACACACAGAGAAAAAAACACTACTGAGGATATTGGAACTGTGTGACATATTTTAATCAAAGTGATCAAGTGTTGAATGAATCAATTTGAGGCAAGTTACAGCAAGAGTGGGGTAGAGCCAAATAGGGAAAAAATCAGATGTGCAATCATAGCAAGGGCAGCAGCTGGCTGACTGGGCCAGAGAATATAAAAATAATGATGACGACCTAGATAAGTCATAGCCAATTTGCTGTCTTTGTTAACTTATAGCTGAATTAATTTTGACAATATTCTCAGAGATCCTGAAAATTCATATATATATATATATATATATATAAATGTAGATATATTATATATACATATTCTTGAAGTTTTGACACAGAAACTTTTCCACCTGATAACTCAGTGTTATCAGTGACAAATGGGCCATTCAGTAGGAATTTTGGCACACATAGGAACTGAGAGCAGAGGCTCTCCAAGAACAGACAACCCAACTTTCATTTGAAACTTCTCCAAACAAAAGTCCTAACAATGAGAGATTGATTGTCATAACCTTAAACTTTCTATTGCTTATGCAGTCTGCAGAGCAACCCGTGGTGGAGAGTCATATAACTATAAAATTTATAAATAAAACTGGTTTTCAAGAAAATGAACCTTAACTTATATCTTTCAAATCATATAATTATCACAGAACACTGATGTTTGATCATATTTAACTAACCAGGTCTTAATGAGAACTGTAAGGTAAATTATATGATGGCTTTTTCAATGCCCATTACACTACTTAAAACTAAAATGAGAAAAGAGGCCTTCTGTCCAAAGAGCACTCAATTACCTCTTACACATTCTTCCTTATTATTAGAAAAACCAAGCTATGTGAACACAGAATTTTGAGAAACATTTGAATGGAACCAACTTTAAAATAGTTGACTCTATATATTACCATTTTTCTCTACAGATCTATGTCAAAAACCAGCATATATATCCCAGCCTCAATTACTATGAACATTTACTACCTATTCTGAACAATGATACTATACAGGACACTTTGGAAGCAGAGATTAATGACATGGCCAGTTGTCTGATACACCAACAGAGGGATGGGTTACTGGTAGATAATTACTCTTCTTGGCTGATTCTCTCCACTGACTAAAGTGTCTTCTCAAAGGTAACATCCTATCTACAACCGTATTCCCACATTCTCTACCCCTTTTCCCTTTTCGTCTTCCCTACACCTATTGTTGCCCGAGATGGTATTTATACTCTATGTCTTCTGACACTAGAATGTAATTCACTGAAGAGGGAGGTTTTCCAGGTCTATCCTTGCATCTTGAGAACACAGTTCATTTTCTGGCACCTAGAAGGCACTAGGTGTAAAGGCCAGCAATAGATAACTTGCTCAGGAAAAGAATGAGTCATGAAGCAGGCAATCCCGGCAGAGAGGACTAGACATTTTCCATCGCTCTACTCTTCTTACAGTGCTCTATGCTCATGCTGACATGACATGATGACATGAGGACATGAGTGGGCCCCTTTTTAGATAGTGAACACCACAGGAGACTGGAGGGGAGAGGAGTGAGACCAGAACTACTTTCCCGTGTTCTACTCTTCTGAGTCACTGAGGACCAATGTTTCCATTGGGTAGGCCTCTCCACATGACTCTTGCTGCCTCCAATTTGTAGTAGATACTCCTCTTCAGTCTTTTTAGGCTCATGAGTGCTAATAGCTGGTCTGTTAAAAGCCTAGGACATTTCAGTTTTTCTTATTATTTCTCTATACCCTATTCATATCATTTAAACCACATGGTCTATTGAGCGTACTTTGTCAATTTAAGTGTGCCCAGCCAGATCCTATCTGAAAGAGTGCGTAAGTAAAATATTACTACTACTCCATAGGACCACATTCCCTAACATAGGGCCTGCACCTTGAGCATTTGAGCCACTCCACCAGCCCTTTTTTTGTGATGGGTCTTGCAAACTATTTGCCCAGGCTGGCTTTGAACCATGATGCTCTTGAGTAGCTAGATTACAGGCGTGAGCCACTGGCACCTGGCCGATTTTCAGCTTTTCAGAGTTTACTTAATTCTGTTCCTTAGGCCACTAGGAAACTCCCATAGCCAATTTAGTCCTAAAGCCCTCTCCTCTGCCTTGATCTAGTTATGTTATAGAGCTTAATGAATATCATAACCATTCATCTTTTTCTTCCACTATTCTGGACACAATGTCCAACATTTCTTTCCATCCTACAGTACAGATGGAATGTTCCTTGACTGTATACTCATATGACTGTTGGGTAATTGGATGGGCAGACAAAAGGAATGGGTACATCAACATTACTCTTCCTTTAAATCTCTCAATTTATGCTTTTGTGATAATCTGTTGACTTTTCATGACTCTTTCAAAGTTCTCTTTTTCTCTTTTCAGTGACTAACAGAATACCTTATATATTTGTACATACCTAATAACTTGGAAACATTCTAGTTGATTACCATATCCACACACAATAATTGTGTCCATGTGACATTACCCTTCTGTAAACCAATGGTGAGTACAGCCACAAATTAGAAATCACTGGGGAGTTTCCTGATGCCCAGACTTCTGCCCTTTTCCAGACCAATTACATTAGAACCTCTGAAGGTAGCACCCAATGTCAATAATTGAAAATCATACTGTCCCTCCCCACAGCCCCACACTGGTGATTCTACTTTGTAGTCAGGGCTGACATTTGCACTATGAGCATTCTTGAGGCTCATGATTCAGTCACTGTAGAGATTCCTTCCTGTATAGCAAACAAGAAGCCAACTAATATTTCCAAGTTGGAAATAGGTGCACAATGGAAGCTCCTACAGGTTACTGTCATTGTCTACTTCAAACTCTACTGGAGCGCTTCCCTGGCCCCTCACCACTGATTCTCATTTAGTGTTTGACTTAGGCCATGGGTATGAAAACCCCTAACTGCCCCACTCCATACAGCCTTTCCTCATCTCTGTTTGCCACTAGGGTTTTCTGCCCAATTTCCTCCAGAAACTTGCTCTATTATTTGTCCTACCCTGGGTACATTAATCTTCTCCCTCTCTAACAAAAACGATTTCCTATACTATCAAATGTTCTTCTTCCTTTCACTTCTAAATTTTATGGAAAAAAGTACAGCCATTTTTTCACTCTTCTGCAGGTCATTACATTGGCAACCTGTCTTCCTCACCTCTACCACTTTACTGAAACAGTTCCCTCCAAAGTTTCACTAATGGTCACATCCACTACATATTGCCAGCTCTTGTTCTCTAAAGGCTTCTGCAAAACATTTGGTCCTTTTCTCCATTTTATTCTCCTTGTTCTTCACTAACTCCTGGAGAACACATTCTTTCTCTTGGGCTTCTTTGCCTGCTTTCAGGCACCGAATGCTCATATTCCCTCCTAGACACCCTAATATTTTCTTCTTCTATCCCCACTCCTGCCCAAACTTTCAGGTTTTTTCTCTGACTTCCAGTTAGAGACTCTAAAATCTACTATCATTACTTTTAAATCTTTTCCCAACCTAACCATTTTTATCTTAATTTAAATGTTACCTCCTTCAAGAGTCTTTCTATATATCTCTAAGATGCCCTTCCCTCCTCTGCATCCCATAGCATTTTTCATGTTATGGTTACTTGTTTTAATCACCCAATTACAGTGCAGCTGGAGTTCTTAAGCAGAGATTCTTACAAGAATCTTCCTGTGGCTCTTTTCAATGTTATCTATCCTCAGCCCCACCCTCAACATTCTTGCTGAGTCTGCAGTGGAGCCAGGGTGGTTGAGACTGTGAGAAGCTCTCCCAGTTAGAGTGAAGAGCTGAGGTCTGGGCTCCTAAGGGCAGAATCCTTATCTTCCATAGCTCAAATTTCTGGAACCAGGCCAAGCACAGAGGAGCAGCTCAATAAATGCCTATTGGAGGATGATTTCAGTTTAATGGTATCTAATCCATCACTCCATTTCCCAATGTGAATTCCATTTGGCTGGTCTCAAGTTCACTTTCCATTACACTGTCTCCTGACTGCCTTTCAGCTCACTTCACCCCCTAGATGCTTTACTCCCTTTCAAATCTTGCTGGAACTCTTCTAAGGAAGGCTTCTCAGCAGAATTTTCTCTTTTCCACTATCTTCCCCACTTTCTCTCCCTGACTCTTTTACTTACAGACATGAACTTTCCCATGTCTTCTCTCTTATAACCCTCAATTCTTTCTTCTAGCCTTACCATTTAACTTATTCCATGATGCCTTATCTTTCTAACATTGAGCACTGACCCCCACAGTCTACAGGTAGACTACAGAAAATGAAGAACTACTAGAGAAAAAAAAAGAAAAAGATCTTTCTCTCCAATATTCTCCTTCATCATGTAAATGTCACCTTCATTTCAATTCAAATTAAATCAGTAAACATCTACTGAGTATCTGTTTTTCTTAAGGCATTCTCATAAACCTGTGGTATCAAAGGTGAAGAAATATCATTTCTGAACTCCAGTTATAGGAGTCTGGGTTTATATGCCAACAGGTGAAGCTGGCATGCAAAACAGATTCCAAACAAAATGTAAGATGTGTCATAGTAGGCAATAAGATCAAAATACAGTGAAAGAGTAAAGAGAAGACATTGACTCAATATTGAGAGGTGGGTATGGATCAAGGAAGACTACAAAGAACAAATCCTGCTGAGTCATAAAAGTGAGCAG